TTCTTCCTTCCAATACTTTGCCCACCTCCAATGCAGTACTCACAAAAAAGGGTGGACAGAAGGATTTTAACATAAGACTGAAAATCAGAGACTCAATCAATTGATTTCTTACCCACACGATCTCTGCTTGACAATTATGTAGTACCAAATTACAAGGAAGATATTTAGCCCACAAGTTAAAAATTCACAGAGCCAGAATCTTCTTTATCTGAAAATCTTCTGTATGGATAGACCTGTTCTACCTTATTGATTTGACTGAAGCATCATAATCTGTTTTGTATCTGATTATACTAGCTTTGCGTCAAAGAACAATTCTGAAAGCAGAGGGAGGGAGAAGGAGTTAGGGGGGTGGGGAGAGATGGTAGGCAGGCAATCTCCATTGTGGCATGAGAATGGAGTTAATAAAGTCACGTTGTTTTCAGTATATATAGGAAATATAACAGAAATTAGTTCAGAGTTAAAGCTAATAAATAACATTGCCAAGAATAATTTTAAAAGAAAGATAATTAATAAAGCTATTGCTGTTTTCAAAAACATCCCAATTTTAGAGAACAAAGGGAATAAATTTGAAGTAAAACACTTTAAAAATGAGTGGACAACAGACAGGAGACTTTATAAGCATCAAAAGAACAACAGATGAGATTTTATAAGCACCAGCTATGATTATGGGCTTTGTTGACAGGTTTTTGGCTAAGAGAAATCTGGAAAAATTAACTAATACCTTTCTCTTAACAACCTTATAGAGAGCAAGCAAAGAAAAGATGTCAAAAACATAAATGTCTGCATAAGACAGCATGCTATAATGGGCCCTGAACATACAGGGTAAAAATAAACTGGTATAAAAAGAGCAAGAACTCGGGCTGGGGCTGGGGCTTGGTGGCAGAGCACTTGCCTAGCATGTGAGAGGGACTGGGTTCAATCCCCAGCACTACATAAAAAACTTAACAAAGGGATTCTGTCCATCTGCAACTAGAAGAAAAGAAACTTAAAAAAAAAAAAAAAGAGCAAGAACTTTTGAAAAAAATCCCTGTTAAAGAACATTTCCTTTGATAAAAAAAGGAAGATACCAAATGGGTTTTAGAATTTGCATTCTTCAGAGACTGGGGTTGTGGCTCAGTGGTAGAGTGCTTGCCTAGCACTGGGTTTGATCCCCAGCACCATATAAAAAAACACGAAATAAACAAAATACAGGTATTTTGTCCATCTACAACTAAAAAAATATTTTTAAAAAAGAATTTGTATTCTTTAATTTCCTTTAAATAAGCACACATTTAAAAGTTCTTTATGTTTGCCTAGATTAATAAGAAGATCCTCTATACTAAATGTGGACTTTCAAAGTTTTAAAAATTACTTCCAAGGTGAGCCTGAATCAAAGAACCAACATACCCAAAAGCTGCTTCTTGGGATTTGAAGGTGAGCCTAATGTGCTCATCAACATTTTAAGATTTTTGCTAAACCAAAGGTTAAAAGTGCATAGAGACAGCATAAGCCTCCACGCTAACAAGAATTACCACTTGTCATCTAAAGAGGGCATTCAACCGCAGCTGCTGCCGGACCAAGAAAATGATCATGTCTCTTACAAACAGACCAATTCTGAGATTCACATGAGGAACACTAAGGATTCAGGAGCAGTCACCAAAGTTTATCACAATAAGCACTGGTGCAAATGGAAAAAAAAGCAAGGAGGCTTTTCACTTCTCTTTTTAACAAAACAATATCCCTTGTATGAATATACTGAAGTAATTTCTTAACTGAGGTACTCATCTAAACACAAAGTTAATTCCTACATGTCAAAAAAATATGACAAAGTAGAAAAAAATTTAAAAAAGACCTGTGGCTGAAAATTCAATACAGGACTTAAAACTGAAACTAGAACTGGAAATGAATGCTCACATGAAAATAGATAAAGTACTAAAAAATGGTCTTTGTGAACAGTATAGTGTGCACATACTCACATAACCACATGCACAAGTACATGCATGCACATGCACACATTAACAAATTCCACTCTAGGCAAGGCGAAGATAATCATTTTTATGAACAAATCAAATAAAATTCTTCATAAATAATCTACCTAAAGGAAATTTTCTTTGGTTTAAAAAGTAATTATAGCCAGGCTCAGTGGTGCATGCCTGTGATTACAGTGATTCAGGAGGCACAGGCAGGAGGATCCAAAGTTCAAGCACACCCTTAGCAACTTTGTGAGACCCTGTCTCAACATAAAAAATAAAAGGGGCTGGGAATGTAACTCAGGGTAAAGCACCCCTGAGTTCAATCGCTAGTACCATTTTAAAAAAATAAAATTAAAAATTAATAGTAAGGACAAAAGGCAAAAACAAAATACATATTTTTTGTGTTGGTTTTAAGAAGAATTGTGTTCTCAGTTTATCACTATGTTAGTTAATAAAAGATTCAATTCAAGATGTCAATAATATTTATATGTTAAACACAACATGTAAAGCTATGAACAGAAAAAAGGGGCTAAAAATAGAAACATATTAAAATCATAAATATAGTTGTTTTTACTGTTACCAAGTATTTTCTCTGTTCTAAAATTTCTGTGATGCTATATTTCTTTCATTAGAAAACACTGAAGATCAACAAAAACTTTTAAAGTGAGATTTTTGGAAGTATGTGGCATAATTTTTAGCATATGCACATAAAGAATCATGAGTAATGAAATTATAAATTAAACAACATCTGTAATAGCAAAAAATTAGAAGCAACCTAAAAGTCTCCTTTCCCAGGACACTGGACACCTCAGTTGTGATATATTCATACAACGGAATACTTTAGAAAAACAAAAGATGAAGTAAATATTCATGTGTCAACAAGGACCAATTTCATGAACCAATGTGAAGCCAAATAAAATTCGGTGCAACAGAATACACAAATTAAGACAACTTTATATAAAGCATGGAAGACAATACTGCACATTATTTGAAATGATACATGCATAAGCAGTAAAGTTAACTAAGCAGTACATAGCAACTATAATCTTACATTCATAACAGAAGCCACCCCAATGGGGTAGAAGGTGGGTGAGAACAAGGAAGAAATGTTCATCTCCACTCCTCTCCATGTCTCCTAGTAAAACACCACTTTCAATCTCTGTTGCATATACTTCTGTGTCTCCTCTGTGGGAACGTCTGAGGGACACAGCCCCTCCTGAACCCTGCTGAAATCCTTTCCAGGTACCCTCCCCTACCCCGACTCCCCAGCAGGAGAACCTGATCACACTCCAGAATATGGTGAGATTAGTAAACTGTTCCTGCAACACTCCCCTGTTCTGTACATGCTACCCACACAAGAGGCGTTCCTTGACTTCCTTCCTAAGAGGGCCTCACTTCCTCTACCTTTGTCCTGCTTTTTATTTTCTTCTTCAAAGCCATAGCTACCCATCCAGCATTATGAATCTGCTTGTAGACTGTCTTCTCCCCCAGAACGCTTATTCTGTTAGGATGGGATTTTGTCTGTCTTGTTCATTGTTGTACCACATTACTTAGACTAGTGCTAGACACAAAGGTGCATATTACTGGCTCTTCAAAAGAAGTGTGCATTTATTCTACACATTAACCTACCTTTTAAATTTTATCCTACTATACTTACCTTTGAAGTTATTAAATACCTTTCCTAAACATTTTTAAAGCTACACTTTATTCCAATATGTGAGTAGGATATAGCACAGTTCAATCAATTCAGTTATTTGACTTATTACATAATTTTTTCATCAAAAATAACAATGGATTATTCTCTTTGTAATCAATCATTATTTCTATAGGATAAATTCCTCAAATAAAAATGTTGAATCAATTCTCGAAGTGTTTGATAAATATATTAACAACCATTCATCCAATGGGTGTGCAGACATATTGACCCTGACAATGGATGAGAGCCACTGTATTACATTTTTACCCATGTTCAGCACCTGTGTCTCTTTCAATCTCACTAATTTAATAAGTAAAAAACATACTCATTCATCCAGGGATTTTGTATTTATACTCCATATGAAGTTACTTTCATTCCTCAAATTCACCCCATTCTTAAGGGTATATGAATGGGGAGTCACAAAGTACGTCTCAGCATCAATTTAATGGCACACACTGGACCTGTCCTGTGACAGCAGCTCTCCTGATTCACTGGGAAGAGTCTCTAGTGGAGAGACTACACAAGACAGCACAGATGAGCACAGGAGCGAGCACACCTCTCCAACTCTGAAGACCACACTGAGCTCCGCACTCCTCTTTCACCAAGGAATCACTTTCCCTGCTGTTCCTGCCCAAAAAGGGGCAACCAAAAAGTAAGCAGAACAATTTTCTATTGTCTTTACTATCAACAAATAGCATAAAACTATATGCTAGAGCTGGGCATGTGGTTCAGTGGTAGAGTGCTTGCCTACCATGCTGAAGCCCTGGCTTTGACCCTGGCACCATAAGATAAAATAGAAGGAAAAAATAGGAAAGAGAAGAAGTATAAAAGAATATATTTGAAATAATGCCAAGAGTCATCAACCTTTCAGAACACTTCATACACTGAGCTGTCAACCAGAAATTGTCTTACTGGAGTCCAATACTTTAGAACTTTCACCACTGGCTTCACATCAAGACACTAACTCTCCAGATCCTACAACCTCAGTATCACCCAACAGTTCCATAGTAAAGGAAGGAGCAGGGAACAGGCAGACAGACCTACAAGCCTTTGAACAGGTGCAGAAAGCCCCAGAAAGGACACTCATAACTTCCCCAGCTACAGAGGTCTACAGACTCCTGCTGCTCTGCAGGCAGTGCTCTGACCTTACACTTCCTATAGGGCTAAAGGGGATTAAATCACAGAACTCAGTGAAATCCTTTAACAAGTGTTAAATGATACACAGCAACAACAACATTTTAACAATCGTCAATTTATCTTTTAGCCATATGAACTCTTAAAATTGTATACTAAACATCATTTTTAGATAATAATTAATAATTGAGCATAATTTTTTAAATTTTTTCTTTTACCAGAGGAGCCCAGTAGGTGTAGAGGTAGCCTATTTTCAATGCTGGTACAAACTGTGAGCAGGACACTACCAGAAAATAGAGATTCAAGAAAAACTTGAATTGTTCATACAAAACCTGAAAAAGAAAAGAGAAAATTAACACAATCCCTAAATTTTAATACCTCCAATATATAATTAAATATAGCACAATATATAACCACATTTCTGTTTGGAATTGGCTTTCTAAAGCTATCCCATATATAAAGGTTACCCCACATAACATTTGAGATAAACTGAGGGGAAACAACAATTAGGACTCTAAATTATATTAAAAGTATCCTTCCCTAAGAGGCTTTATTTTTTTAATGAAATTTTTAGTTTTCCAAAATCTATAATCTTTACATGCACATCCAAACAAATGACACCAAAACTTTCCCAATGCTAGCAAGTCAGTAAATACAAAAATGTATATCTGGATACCAACTCAGAAACTCTAAAGATGCGAAAGTCATACTAACCTCATGTTTACAAACTGGAAAAATAAATAAATAAATAAATGAAAAACAAAAAATACAACACCCATGCTTTGCAACATGAACTGGGCTTTATGAAGCCAGATGTGCACAACTGTGACTGCATGAGATGATCTCCTGTATGTGTTTTCTCAAAACATGTAAAATGATCAACACAGAATAGTAAATAACAGACCAATTTTCAGGAATATAGCTACTTGTATATTTTTTATAGTCTTTTGGTAGTTGGTCTTTAACACTATTTTTAAACATGAATTTCATCATTCAATAAAATTTTAGGAAAGCCAAAAGTGAAAATTTTTATATTTTTTTTAAATTCAAATGGAATTACCTATAAGGAAGAAAACTCAAGATCCAGTATATTGAGAGCTCTATTTACAAATGCCTCAAGTTACTAGATTTGAATTAAAAATTAAATAGAACAAACCTGATATTTATAGATAGGAACAATTCAAATGGCACACAATTACAATCATACTGGCAAACTTGCCGTCTATGAATCAGAACCTCCTGGGAAGCAACTTATATTACATAATATAAAATAAAATTACTGCATCATCATATACTTACATGTGTGACTGAAAAATCAGTTACACCAGTAACACACTTATATTCATAATCATGTTCAACTACTATCTAGAAATGTTTTGAACTATTTCATAAATTAATCTCAGCAGGAAGGAAAGCTCTTTTTCCTCAGCAATATCTTTAAAATCTCAGCATAAATTATATCTATTAGCAATTCAGAAATTGCCATTTATGCTAAAAATGGCATAGAATTCCTACTGTGTAATTACCAAATGTTTCTAAAATACTACATTTTAGATGAAAAGATCATTTCAGAGACAATTTAAGAAAAAAAATCACCCACACAGTTAAGGACTGTATAGACACATCAACAGGTGTTCTCAAGATGCAGCCACTCTAGGCAGGTTGTATGAATTTACACTGACCAAAGTGAAGCTTGCATTATTTGTTTCAGACCACTGTACTCAATACTTGATTATTCACTGAATAAGTCTGGTGACTGTTAAGAAAATGCACACTGCTTAGCTAACGGTGTTATTTAATAATTTAAACCTAAGGAGAAAACAGTGCTTCATTCAATAAAGTTGAAAATATTTGCCCCAACGACAGTTTACATTTTATTGTCCTGACAAAAGATCAGTCTTCTAATTATGGGGCCATTAGTTTTGTGTTTTTTTAATAAAAAAAGCACATTAGATATCAAACTCTTGCCAACAAATGAATGGATGGGGATTGAGGGAGGGGAATAATCAATGTCCAATACAAAATCAGAATGATCATTAAAATACAAATACACAAGAAAAAGCAACTTTCAATTGATGTAATCAAGAGCTTTTCTTGATAAATAGAATAATAGCCCTTAGCTAGAACATGCCAAAGTTTTGATATAGAAATATAATCAGATATATGATGACAAACTACTTTCCCCAATAAATCATGCTGGTCTAACTTCTAAAAATCAAGGACTAAAAAGAAAATAAAATCCTGTAATTAAAAAAAAAAGAAAAACAAAACCAACACCAGTTGTCTTTGCCTTCAGAAAGATAAATAAATCTGTCAAAAAATTTATTCCACTATTCTAAACTCACATAAACTTGGTTTTAAAATTTAATTTAGAAGTATTGCTAATAACCAAGCAGCAGAAAAATAAATTTTAGTATTTAAATTTAGCATAGTACCTAATTAAAGATTTAGCAGTAGGTCTACGGTTTATAATGTAAAGTAGCAAAGACATCTATATACACTTACATATTGTTACAGTGTCATTTTTGTGAAAGCAAAATTGTTTTACTTTCTTTTTGAAATTTCTTGACAAGCTTAGAAACTATATTCAACTTTTCCCTCCAAATTCCCACCCCCAAAAAACTTTACAACTTATTTTTTGATCATTTTACTTAGCATTTTTTCATTATTTCTATACTACAATTGTTTCTATAATTATATAAATGATGTTTATCAAGAACTGAAGTTAATAATCAAGTTGAAAATTTTCTTGTTGATTAAAAATGCAAATGAATGATTTGGCAATCATTGAAACTGAACAGTATAAGACCAGGAGGTGCTGCGTTGGGTCTGACAGTGAAACACGGAAGGGTCTCTGAAAGGCATTGGAAACCAGCAAGCTCTGACCTATGACCCTCGAGCAGGAGTGTCTTACCCCAGGTATAAAGGTAAAGACATTGTATTTTTGATTTTTTATTGAATTCCTGGGATGCTTTTCTTCACTCTTCTCAGGACATCCAAGCCATACTGTTCGAGCTTTTAGTTCTTTCTTTCGATGACAAATATTTATCAGCCAATCACAGCAACTGCATGAAACAAACAAAAAAAAAATACATATTACATATGCTTTTTGTAAAACATTTAAACTGATCTGCATATTGAAAGACAATACTGACTTTTCTGTATTTACCAGACACTAATAGCATTATCTAATGCTAATCTGGGGTTTTTTCTTAGAACAGGTCAATTATACAAATTTAAAATGTCACAAAAAAATACTTAAAGAGTCTCCTATTAATGTGCAATGGCTTCTAGAACCCAGAGCAAAGTCTCCTATAAATGTGTAATGGCTTCTAGAACCCAGCGATTATCACCCCTATTAGACACTCTTAGTGGCAAAACAACATCTTTAATATTCTACAGCAGTCAATGCTCCATTTTTGAAAAAACATATAGCTATGGGTATGGTAATTCTTATGATACCACTTGAAGGCTGGGGATGTGGCTCAAGCGGTAGCGCGCTCGCCTGGCATGCGTGCGGCCCGGGTTCGATCCTCAGCACCACATACAAACAAAGATGTTGTATCCGCCGAGAACTAAAAAATAAATATTAAAAAAAAATTCTCTCTCTCTCTCTCTCCCCCTCTCTCTCACTCTTAAAAAAAAAAAAAAATACCACTTGAGTGATTCAATGATAAAGGTACACAGATATCAATTAATCCAAGACGTAGCTTTGTCTCTTCTCTGAAGAATCATTTTTTTCCATTTTTTTACAAAACGACTATTCCAGTAGCATTAACTAAAGACTTATGGTTTTAATCAACACAACATTTAAAAAGCTACCAAAGTTGAATGTGATGTTCTCATGATAATAAAAGCTTAGTTGTTTTCCACATGCCTATCTTCATCCATGCCCTGTTCCAACACAGCCAGGGTCCTGGGAGGACCAACTCTTCCCCTTCTGGTCATCCCAACCATTATTTTCAGAGAGAAAATACAAAGGGTCCAATGGGATAACTTTTCTTAAAATACCTCAAAAAATGAAGAAAAGGTATCCAATTCATCTCTATTGAACACAAAATAATCATGAATTTAAGATTCACTATCAAAAATTTGGGTTAATTTGACTATTCAAAACGTATAAACATTCGGAACAGTTCACTAAGGGAAGTTGTTGGATCTCATCTTCTGAAAGCATTCAAGGTTAGAATTGCAAGTCAGCTGTGTACATCAGAAAGTGTTAACTTCACTTGTGACAAAGTAAGCTTTAAATTTAACGACAAATTTTGTATGAAAATAACATAGAAGGCATGATCATACAACAGAGCTGACACATCATAATTCATATCTCAGAATTGCTATGTCTCCAATGTTGGTGTTATCCTTTCCATCCAATCACACTGACTTTATTCTTCAGAAATTACTTTCAAACATTAAAAATTCAGATGCACTACTTCATAAATATTTCTTTATGGGAAGGTGCCTTGGGGGAGTATAAACTAAAATCAGCATCATCCCTATTGACTATCCGCCTAATTATTTTTTGGGGGGTGGAATATTGGGGATTGAACTCAGGAGCCACATCTCCAGCTCTATTTTGTATTTTATTTAAAGACAGGGTCTAACTGAGTTGTGTAGCGCCTCACTTTTACTGAGGCTAGCTTTGAACTCATGATCCCCTGTCTCAGCTCCCGAGCCACTGGGATTACAGGTGTACACCACCACACCCAGATAATTTTTGGCTTTGCTCATATCTTCACTCTAGAAGTGCAGAGCATGATACACGATGTTTCTGCAGGATTGCCCACATTACTGCCTTGAGAAACTTCTCCTTAATGAGGCTGATGGAATGCCAATGAAGAGCCCTACCTACTGCCCCTCAATTCAACAGGAGCAAAGATCCACCTCTGGTAGAATGGAAATCTCCTTCTACTGTGCAGCATCACTTTTTAAACAATAAACCTAACATCTCCATATCGAAAGCATGCTTTCAAGTCCCCAACAGTTATAAATCATAGTATTATTCAAGTTATTTAAAACTAAGTACTTCCACCATTACTGCTATTGTTGGCAGAAAAAAAGGAGATGCATCGAGTAGATTTCAACCAAATTTTGACAATGTTTCATCTTATTTTGATTGAACGAAACAAAAATAAGGCTACAAGTAGAACACCATAAGATTCAAATGATTATTTCTTCTATACCACTGCTTTTATTGTGTAGCCCCATCCCCACCCCAGGCCCTTTCCCCTCATGCACCCCCTATCTTACTGTCCCCTAGCAGATCGTAGCCAGCTCCCTGTACTTCCCAACCTAAGTCCCCACCCTCAGGGCTCAGTGCTCATGGACACTTCCTGCCTAGAGCTCCCTAGTAGCCACTCAAGCTCTAAGCTGCTTTCAACATGTACTCCTGGTGTTATGAAAATCCTACAGTGATGATACACAGCTAAGACAGATCCCTTCTTAAACTTCAGACCTGATCTTCCTCTGAGTCACCTGCAACTGTGCTGCACAGATGCCAAACTCCTACATTCGACACATGAGGAACTCTAGGTCACACAGGGAAATGACTTTCCTAAGATGTTAATGGCAGAGCTGAAAGCTGAAGCCTGGATCTCAACCCCACATCAACATGATGTGCATCCTGCATATAAACAAGAGTCAGCAGCCAATGCTGCTTACGTTTCCAGAGTGCCCCAATCTAGCTAGAGGCACAGCACTCGGATGGTGAAAACTAACAAACAACTAATGAGAAGAAATGGGAACTCCACGGAAAAGCCCCACACCCCATGCAAAGTCACCATTTTAGAACACCAAATTCTGCACAGAGAATTTAGACCCACGCCAGCCAACAGCTGCTGGCCACATGTGGCCACGTTATGGTTTGGATGTAAGGTATCTTCCAAAAGCTCACATGTAAGTCAGTGTAAAAAGGTTCGGGAGAAATGACTGGCTTGCCAGAGTCGACCCAATCAGTGAATCAATCCCCTGATAGGGATTAACAGAGTGGTAACTGAAGGTGGGTAGGGTGTGGTTGGAAGAGGTGGGCATTGGGGGCATGACTCCGGGGTATCTATGTGTATTTGACAAGTGGTCTCTCTCTCTCTCTCTCTCTATCTCTCTCTCCTTCCTGATCATCATGTGAGCCACTTCCCCCCCCCAATATTCTTCCACCATGTTGTTCCTGCCTCACCTGGAACCCTGAAGAATGAAGCTGGCTTGCCTATGGACGGAGACCACTGAAACTGTGGGCCCTCAAATAAACTGTTCCTCCTCTACAATTACTCTGGATGGGTCTGTAAAGTCACAGCAGCAAAAAAGCTGACTAAAACAGAAATGGGGTACTGAGAATTCGGGTCATTCCTGTGACTAACCTGACCATGTGGTTCAGAAACATTTGGTGCTTTTTGGAAGTGGTGAGAGGAATTTTGAGATGTAGCAGTGCAAGCTGGAAACGCTTTAGGTTGTTGTAAACGGAGCTTAATGGCTGATTCTGGAGGGAGCTCAGAAGACCAAAATGTCAATAGGACCATATGGTGAAGACAGGACTCAATAGAGTTTAGAGGAAAAGGAGGACACTATCAGTAAGTGGATTAGAGGCCATTTGTATTATGTTCTGGTGGAGAAGTTATCTGTTTCTAGACAGCAGAGCATTCAGGTGGTGGCATGGACACTGCTGTACACTTTTAGCCCAATTTATTGTAATAATCAGGAGCAGAAAGCGACTTGAAAATGGGGGTCTAAGAAAGTTGCAGTTGTTAAAGACATTAATGCCACTAAAGAAATGCCAAAGACTTTGCCCAGAGACTGTAAGAAAGATAACTTGAGGGCATCTCAGGAATTGGCAAGATCATATTCATCCCAGACTCAAAGAATTAAAAGTAAAAATTCTCTTGAGAATAGCCCAGTTGAAAGCCTTCTTACACAAGGGGGCCTAGGAAGTTTTTCAACACATTCAGCCCCTCAGGCACTCAGAGGCTGCTGCATCCAGGGTCCCTGGAGGCCTGGCTACTACTTAAGATGGCAGCAGACCTGGGTGTCAACCATGTGGTGCTGGTTCTACAGGATTGCAGGATGGTAGAGAGAGGGCGTCATGGAGGCTTCCACTGAGATTTCAAAGGAAGGCCTAAGAAGCCAGGCAGAGTGCCCCAGGGTTGGAGTCCCTGTGCACAGCCCCAGAGAGGGCAAAGCATGGAGATGTGAGGAGAAAGCCAAAGCTGCAGTAAAGACCCCTGAGATTAAGAAATGCCAACATGGGACATCATCCTAGAAAAACTGTAAGAATCGAACAGAAACAAGCCAACACAAAGTCCACTTGAGCTGTAACAAACAAGGCCCCAGGGGTGGAGCTACATAAGCCCTTTGAATAGAACATTACCACGCCTTGTGCCCCAGATACTAGAAACAGAACTGCAGGACTTATTTGCCCAGCTAGATTTCAGACTCTGCTTTGGTGCCATTCCTTCTTTCCATGCCCCCATTTTTGTGATGGAAATGTTTACTCTGTACCTTTATATATTGAACACTTGTAAATCGCTTTTTTTACAGGAACTCATGATGCAAGCTTGCCCTGAGACTCAGAGTAGACTTTGGACTTGAATTTTTGGGCAATCTTAGAACTGTTGAGACTATGGGGACTCCTAGAAATAGACAGAATGTATTTTGCATTGTAAGATGCCCTTGCATTGTAAGGGCAAAATGTATAGTCTGGATGTGAGGTGTCCCCCAAAACCTCACGTGTGAGACAATGCAAGATGGTTCAAAGGAGAAATGATTAGGTTGTAAGAGTCCTTTCTTTCTTTTCTTTTTTTAATTGATTTTTTTAAAAAAAGGTTGTACGAGTCTTAACCCAATCAGTGAATTAATCCCGTGACAGGGATTACTAACTGGTAACTGATGGTGGATAGGGTGTGGTTGGAGGAGGTGGGCATTGAGGACCTGGCTTTGGGATATATTTTTGTATTTGGCAAATGGAGATGTCTCTCTGCTTCATGATCCTGTGAGCTGCTTCCCTCTACCATACTCTTCCACCATGAAATTCACCTCACCTCAAGCCCTGAGAAATGGAGCCAGAAGGAAAAGAGGG